AATAATAATAATACAATTTTTTTGTAATTTTGACATTTTCGTCCCAATTATAACTTAAAACTGTCACCAGAATACACTAATTAACTAACTGTCCATAAAGTTTCTAATTGGCCTGAAAAGTCTAATTACTGTACCTTTATGTAATTAGTTCGTCAGTCATACAAATGGTATTCTCAATGCTATAGAGCCTACGAGAAAAATACAATAAAAAATGTAGCCTAGTTGTTATTAAAATGCTGCAAATGTAATAATTTGTTGTTAAAAGCGATAATACTTATCTCCACTTTGGTAGAAATTCTTCTTGGCACTTAATTGCAATACAGCGGCAGAATACATTAGCAAAAGAACTCTATACAGTATACATCACTTGAAGCAAGGATTCCCAACTTGGTGTATGTAATCCTCGGTGTATATACACACTACAAGTATACTGTATGGATTATTATTGAGGACTAAAGTATACTTGCTGATTGGTGAGATAACGATTGTAGTGGCCTTAATGACTCTCCAGATTTATGACAGGCCTTAATTAAGTCCACCACCAAACCAATCACTTATTAGTATTGACCCGGGGATTGGGGGGGGGGAGGTGTTAGGGGGGGTAAAGAATAACAATTCTCAATTGAATCTTTTTATTATCATATAAAACACTAACATGTCAGCCAGCCAGCAACATTGCCAGCGAATGAAAATATTAAGAACGACACTGACCTGAGGTTTGGGGAGGGTGGCAGGTGATTGGAGAGGGTGGCAGGTGATTGGAGAGGGTGGCAGGTGATTGGAGAGGGTGGCAGGGGTGTGGAGAAGGTGGTAAGTGATTGGAGAGGGTGGCAGGTGATTGGGAGGGTGGCAGGGGTGTGGAGAAGGTGGTAAGTGATTGGAGAGGGTGGCAGGTGATTGGGGAGGGTGGCAGGGGTGTGGAGAAGGTGGTAAGTGATTGGAGAGGGTGGCAGGTGATTGGGGAGGGTGGCAGGGGTGTGGAGAAGGTGGTAAGTGATTGGAGAGGGTGGCAGGTGATTGGGGAGGGTGGCAGGTGATTGGGGAGGGTGGCAGGGGTGTGTAGAAGGTGGTAAGTGATTGGAGAGGGTGGCAGGTGATTGGGGAGGGTGGCAGGGGTGTGAGGAGGGTGGCAGGTGTGTGGAGAGGGTGGCAGGTGTGGGGAAAGGTATGGCAAGGATGGAAAACCATTTTTGAAGGAAATGGTATATAGAGAAGAGTTCAGTGGTGAAGTGAAGAACTGAAGAAGGACGTGAAGAAGAGAGAGGAGGAGATTGAGAATATTTTTGGTCATTTGCTGTTTAAACGCCACAATATATGACAACTTTGAGTTACTGCGGAGGCTGTCAGCGTGGATGCTCTTGGCACGCACACACACACACACACACACACACACACACACACACACACACACACACACACACACACACACACACACACACACACACACATATTCACATACAGACACATATACACATACACGAGAACGATATTGCTATTAAAGCCAAAAAAAAACTAAATTGCTACTTAGTTATACAAGAAGGAAAATGTCGATGAACGACCAAGTGACAAGACAACGGAAAACGGGAGGGGGGTATACAGAAAACGACAAGGAAATCTGCGAGGGACTGAACACCAGTTTCCATGGAGTGTCGTAACCGAGCCTGAGCATCTCTCATTGTTAGAGGAGATGACCCTAGATGAGAGAGACTAGCAGATGTAGAGGTGACAGCAGAGGAGGTAATGAAACAGCTGACAACACTGGATGAAACTAAAGCAGTTAGATCAAAGTATCACCGTGGATGCTAAAAGAGACAGCACAGGCCCTCAGCGTGCCTCTGGCAATGAGTCACTTGTGAAGGAAGAGTTTTCCAATTGCTGGAAAAAGGCAAAAGTGGTACAAATTTTCAAGAAAGGAGATAGTGCTGTCCGCTCGGCCGAGCGGACAGCACGCTGGACTTGTGATCCTGTGGTCCTGGGTTCGATCCCAGGCACCGGCGAGAAACATTGGGCAGAGTTTCTTTCACCCTATTCCCCTGTTACCTAGCAGTAAAATAGGTACCTGGGTGTTAGTCAGCTGTCACGGGCTGCTTCCTGAGGGTGGAGGCCTGGTCGAGGACCGGGCCGCGGGGACACTAAAAAGCCCCGAAATCATCTCAAGATAACCTCAAGATAGTCAGCACTACCCTGGAAACACAAACCAAAACTGTTTTCATTTTCCGCTTGTTACAACTTGTAATAAAGTTGTTAAATCTTGGCTTAACGTGTTTATGACGTATTAGAACGTTGTTACAACTTGTTATATTGGTTGTTATAACTGGTTAGGAAGTGTTAAAACTTGTTCGAACGTTGTACCAACGTCGTAGTTTCGGTGTGTGTTTGGCGGGTATTCACTAGCAAGTCAGAAAATTGTTCAGAAACCTAAATAAGAAGGCATATAGATCGCTGTTCACCACCTGCGTGAGACAGTCTTTGACTACGCCGACCCATCGTGGAACCCCAACTAACGAAACTAAGAAAGATCCAGAAGTTTGCAACGAGGGTCACCCAAGATCTGCGATAGATGGAATATGAAGAGAGACTGAAGGAACTAAACCTGACGACTCTAGCACAATGATATAGAAGGAAGACATGATAGCGACGTATAAAATATTAGGGGGATTGACTGAATGCAAAAACTGGAAATGTTCACAATGAATCCACAATAGGGCTGTGGGTGGAAGCTTGAGACTTAGGTATCTTGAGGTTATCTTGAGATGATTTCGGGGCTTTTTAGTGTCCCCGCGGCCCGGTCCTCGACCAGGCCTCCACCCCCAGGAAGCAGCCCGTGACAGCTGACTAACACTCAGGTACCTATTTTACTGCTAGGTAACAGGGGTATAGGGTGAAAGAAACTCTGCCCAATGTTTCTCGCCGGCGCCTGGGATCGAACCCAGGACCACAGGATCACAAGTCCAGCGTGCTGTCCGCTCGGCCGACCGGCTCCCTTAGGTGAGTCAAAGAGATATAAAGTTTTAATTTTGCGTAAGAGTAAAGGCAAAATAGAATGAACTGAAGGAACTGGTGGTAGAAGCAAGTTCCACTCACTATTTTGAAAGGAGATAAAAATAAGGAAATTGGCCAGGAGTCATTGCTTTAGACAATTGGCGGCTGGAAAGGCGGGGTCCAAGAGCTGATGCTCGATCCTGCAGGCACAAATAGGTGAGTATACACACACACACATACACACCTTCACACATATACGTACGCACACACCTTCACACATACACACACGCACGCACACATATATTTACACACACATACACTCGTATACATACACACAGGCGAATATATATATATATACATATATCTCACATTTTTCATCACTATCATTTGCATAAAGTTATATAATGTATGTATATGTAAATTAATACATGTAAGAGGAAATACAGAAACATAAGCATGATTGTTCGTGAGCGCCAAAGAGAAAAAAAAAGAGAGAGAGAGAGAGAGAGAGAGAGAGAGAGAGAGAGAGAGAGAGAGAGAGAGAGAGAGAGAGAGAGAGAGAGAGAGGGGAAAGAGAGAGAGAGAGAGAGAGAGAGAGAGAGAGAGAGAGAGAGAGAGAGGAGAGGAGAGAGAGAGAGAGAGAGGGGAAAGAGAGAGAGAGAGAGAGAGAGAGAGAGGGGAAAAGGAGAGAGAGAGAGAGAGAGAGAGAGAGAGAGAGAGAGAGAGAGAGAGAGAGAGGGGGGAAAGAGAGTGGAGAGAAAGAGAGAGAGAAAGAGAGGTAGAGAGGATGGCCTATACCATCACCCTCACGCCAACACGGAAAACAACAGACCACCCTTGCCATAAAGGGAAAAAAAGTACCCTGTTTTAGTTTAATTGTTTGAAATTCCTGGGGAAAAATATGGGGAATAAATTATGGCCGGAGGGATGAAATTGAACAGGTGATTTAGATACATGTTTACAAAGTTGTAATTACGCTGGTGAAATGAGGCGATGGGACAATTTACTGATACCGTCTCTTTACTAATTATTGAAGGGAGTTGGTTGATGGAGAGTGCGTGTTTTGTCATGTTATCTGCACCTGTCTTATCACCTGTAATTAGCTAAGGGTAGTTAGAGGATGAGAGCTCCGCTTGTGGTAACCCGTCTTCCCAGTATTCTTTGTCTTACTGCTCAAACTACTACTACTGACGGTTTTGGCCTCTACCACCTTTATTGTGTGTGTGTGTGTGTGTGTGTGTGTGTGTGTGTGTGTGTGTGTGTGTGTGTTGTGGGTGTTGTTGTTAAAGATTCGCTACCTGGAACAAAAAATCCAAAGTAGCACGGGCTATGGTGAGCCCGTAACTTACCTGGCACAGGAGCGGGGCAAGTAGCACGGGCTATGGTGAGCCCGTAGTGGAATAGTGTGAGGGGTGGGGGGTGTATGTATGTTTCCATCCACTTAAAATAATTCGTTTAACGAACACAAATGATAGTTCTCAATTTGTTTTTTTCCTTCGTTCTCTTTCTATTTCGTTCTGCCATACACTCACTCACACACACTCACTCACACACACACACACACACACACACACACACACACACACACACACACACACACACACACACACACACACACACACACACACACACACACACACACACACACACACACACACACACACACACATACACACACACACACACACACACACATACTCACACATACACACACTTCTCAAGGTAAATATTAGCTTGATAATTCCTTATAACAAGATTTTGACCAGACTTACCCATACACAAGGACTCAATACATATTGCATCAGTCATTATAAACATTTCCAATATATAAATCCTGCACTCCAGTACAAAAATTGGTAATCTCACCCTTGGACGAAATTGAATAAAAATGCCACCTTTAGGAAGTTTAAAATAATTTTGCCTTTCGAAAGTTTTAATATTATTATACCCTTTCAAAAGTTTAATAATATTTTACCTCTCAAAAGTATAATAAAACAAGAAGAAATTAAACACCAAAGGATGATTATTATCTGTTAAGAAAATCATACTAGAAATTGAGTATTTACAAATGTATGATATTTCATCTGAATTCATTATACATTTACCAAATTCAGTTCACCACAAAAGTCAGGTTAGTCGTGTCTTGGGCAAGAACCACATATAATGCATATATTTACAATCACATATGTGCATTATTTACAAGTCACATATATATACCTTCTATTTACAGTAGCAACTATCTCCTCCACCCATCCCACTTAGTACAAAGAAGATATTAACAGTAGATTATATACTTCTTGATATACAAGTTTACACTTGTAGACCTGTATCATACCAGTATCCTAGTTCCACTCAAGTGCCAAGATTAGGTGCTTCTTGGGTGGCATAGTGCTGAGAGCTTAGCACCTAGCACTCTCTCAGCATACCTGTGCTCAGCATACTGAGTTAGGTACTCAGGATCTTAGTACGTATTAACCGGTACTCGGTATTTGGTACTTAAGAGTGCCAAAGTACTGAGTAGAGAGTACATTGTACTCTCTACTCAGTACCAGGTATTGGATACATGTTCATTATATATTTAGTATTGGGTACCTGGAACTTGGTATTGGGTATCTAGTACACAGTATTAGGTACCTAGTACATAGGTTTGGGGTGTCTAGCTCATAGGTTTGGGTAAATGACCCCCTTTTAGCATTCACTTATCTTGCAGTTATAGTGAAACTTGCCAAGAAAATCACATTGTGGCATCACTATTCAACACCTATGTTGTGGCTGTTTAATGAAACTCCAAAACCTCCCTAATGACTTTTGATGACGGCTATTGAAGGCTTTTTTTTACAGTATATTGGTAGTTTTTTATTCTTAAAGCCTGCCTGGCCCTCTTCCAAGACGAGGACTCATGCCTTGGAAGAGTGCCAAATGGGTCTTGTAAGATGATGACCGAGAAAGTGTCATGATTCTTGAGGGTATTTACGTGTTAGGTACGAAACCTGTACATCTTTAGGTTGTCATAAACAACCTGGAGTGGCTTCGAAAGTCATCAATTTTTTTAATAGATGAAAATGAAGCCGTCGTGATTGTGTGGGGGGGGGGATGTATAGGTTTCGTCAGTGGACACAATCGATTAAAGGGAGTTTATATAGCGTTAATATCACCTGCCTTGCAAGTGAAGACTTCAGCTGGGTGAGGTTTACCTCTCCCAGCTGAGGTAGACCTCTAACAAGGTAAACTGATCCTTCTAAGCCAGTGTCTGGTCCTTGTAAACCAGTAAACCTATTCCTCGTGACCCCTATGCTTGGCACTCGTAACCCTGTACCTGGCACTTGTAAACTAGTACCTGGCACTTGTAAACCAGTACCTGGCACTGGTAAACCAGCGCTCATTACCTAGCCCTCAGCACCGAGTATTCAGAACCCCAAAACCTCTCGAACACTCTTCAATTTACCTAATTCTCAGAACCTAGCCCCGAGTGCCAGATGATTATATCTCTCAGCATCAGCACCTGTCAGTTCGGACCCAGCAGCTGGGAACTAGCCCCCAGCACCTGTGAGCTAGGTAGACACAAGGTAGACTAGCACCCCAGCACCTGTAAGCTAGGTAGACTAGCCCCCAGCACCTGTAAGCTAGGTAGACTAGCCCCCAGCACCTGTAAGCTAGGTAGACTAGCCCCCAGCACCTGTAAGCTAGGTAGACTAGCCCCCAGCACCTGTAAGCTAGGTAGACTAGCCCCCAGCACCTGTAAGCTAGGTAGACTAGCCCCAAGCACCTGTAAGCTAGGTAGACTAGCCCCCAGCACCTGTAAGCTAGGTAGACTAGCACCCAGCACCTGTAAGCTAGCACCCAGCAGCTATGACTAACGACAACGTTGCTAAGACAACCATGGTGCTGAGGGTGTAAGTGAAGACACTGGCTGAGGCTGACGAAGAATTTGTCGAGTGCTGCATCGCGGCAGAGCTCTCCCCTGAAAGGCGCAGGATTACCTGATTAGCTACGATTAAAATAGTGATTTGTAATGCAAATTATGCTTGAAGTTTATAGATGATTGACTAGGATGATGAAAAGTAACTCTAGGAACTGTATAACTCTAGGGTACGTGGAACTCTAAGGGCAGTGTGACACTAGGACCTGCGTAACTCTAAGGACTTAATACCTAGGGTCTGCGTAACTCTAAGGACTTAATACCTAGGGTCTGCGTAACTCTAAGGACTTAATACCTAGGGTCTGCGTAACTCTAAGGACTTAATACCTAGGGTCTGCGTAACTCTAAGGACTTAATACCTAGGGTCTGCGTAACTCTAAGGACTTAATACCTAGGGTCTGCGTAACTCTAGGGCGTGTGTAACTCACCATCGAGGACCTGTATGCGGACGGTGGCTGTATCAGCCTCGGGGGCACTACAGCTGTAGTTCCCGGAGTCTGTAGTGGTGGCAGTCTTGATGCTCAGCCTGGACACTGGACCCATCACCCCGGAGGAAGTCTCCACGCTGTTCCGGAGATCAGTTAGGGGGGTGAGAGTGGGTATTGGGAGACTGAATCGCAGGTGTGGGGGCTAGGTGGTGTCTAGTCGTAGGTGTGGGGGCTAGGTGGTGTCTAGTCGTAGGTGTGGGGGCTAGGTGGTGTCTAGTCGTAGGTGTGGGGGGTAGGTGGTGTCTAGTCGTAGGTGTGGGGGCTAGGTGGTGTCTAGTCGTAGGTGTGGGGGCTAGGTGGTGTCTAGTCGTAGGTGTGGGGGCTAGGTGGTGTCTAGTCGTAGGTGTGGGGGCTAAATGGTGACTAGTCGCAGGTGTGGGGGCTAGGTGGTGTCTAGTCGTAGGTGTGGGGGCTAGGTGGTGTCTAGTCGTAGGTGTGGGGGCTAAATGGTGACTAGTCGCAGGTGTGGGGGCTAGGTGGTGTCTAGTCGTAGGTGTGGGGGGTAGGTGGTGTCTAGTCGTAGGTGTGGGGGCTAAATGGTGACTAGTCGCAGGTGTGGGGCTAGGTGGTGTCTAGTCGTTGGTGTGTGGGCTAAATGGTGACTAGTCGCAGGTGTGGGGGCTAGGTGGTGTCTAGTCGTAGGTGTGGGGCTAGGTGGTGTCTAGTCGTAGGTGTGGGGGCTAGGTGGTGTCTAGTCGTAGGTGTGGGGGCTAGGTGGTGACTAGTCGCAGGTGTGGGGGCTAGGTGGTGTCTAGTCGTTGGTGTGTGGTGGCGGGGGAAGGTGTAGACTCCGTCGTAGATGTTGGGGACGAGGTAGAAAATATATATATATATACATGTGCTTAAAATTCTTTAAGTATTATACAGTATTTGCTAAGGACTTAATTGTTTTAAATTTGCGTTGGTTGTTGGTTTTAAGTGAGGGGGGGGGGCGGGGGGCTGCTGTTGCAGTAATGTTGATGGGAAAAAAACACTTCAACAAGACCAGGGAAGCTGAGGCATGAGATCCAGTCTGTGGAAAACACGAGCAATGAGCAGACGAGGAGAAAAAATACACTTTGAGTTATGTTTGCAGAAGCAAACGTGGAAATGTGAACTCTTTTATCTCTCTGTCTCTCTCTCTCTCTCTCTCTCTCTCTCTCTCTCTCTCTCTCTCTCTCTCTCTCTCTCTCTCTCTCTCTCTCTCTCTCTCTCTCTCTCTCTCTCTCTCTCTCTCTCTCTCTCCTCTCTCTCTCTCTCTCTCTGATAGATGCGCTTGGTTTCCCCTCTCTGAAACATTAATGCGAAGATAGCGGGCAAGGGTGCTTGCAATGCAGTCTGGATACTCATAATACACACACACACACACACACACACACACACACACACACACACACACACACACACACACACACACACACACACACCACGTGGGGAGTAACCCCATCACAAACATCAACCACAAACGTTTGAGAACTCCAGAGTTGATATTTCACGGTCGCCTGAACGAGGCCATCTCTACCAGGAAGACTTCCTCATATATAGGGCCATAAAATATTTACTGGATATTATACAAAGTTGAATATATATATATATATATATATATATATATATATATATATATATATATATATATATATATATATATATATATATATATATATATATTGGTAGCAGTCCTCTTGTAAACATATGTTGTTGAATATGACCGAAAAAGTAAGATTAATAATTCTAACACGAATTTTTTCAATATTTCTTATGTTTTTCTTCACTGTTGGTGGTAGTGAAAATATCAATTCTCCAAAATTCATTTTTTATTAATGGTCTGCCACCTAGAAGCGTTTCGTAAGGCCTTCTTACATTCTCAAAGACTTCTTTACGCTTAACACTACACTTATGAATTACAATTTTATGATAAACTTGATGCACTGTGTATGAAACATTTGATATAACCCTCGCTTTTTATTGGTTTGGGTGAGGTGGGTACATGAGAATGGAAGTAACTGCAGAGGGCCAAGGGCCACAATCGACTTGAGAATGGTCCAGGACGGACCGAAACGTCGTCGTCCCTTCACCTTCTAGTGTGTGGTCTGGTCAACCGTATGGGCCAATAGGCCCTCTGCAGTTACTTCCATTCTATTTGCATATAAAAATCCTATTTCCTCCTGGATTCAGGCAATGCCCAAACGGTACACAAGTTCCCATACAACCTGTCCTCTTGCATAGAACGTTGCTTTTCGCTCGTAGGCGTAACATAAGGCCAAAAATCGTCGTACTATACAATGGAAGTGGCTGGCGAAAGTGACGTACTGTCCCGTTTTCTGTTTTGGGTCCTCTGGGAGGTTAGGAGAGACTACTGTAAATTGACCGTTTTCTGGACGTTGGGAAAAACCATAGGACGAGGCTGTTCTATGAAGGAAAGGGGAAGAGAGGGAGAAGAGTGAGTAGGGGGGAATAAAGAGTGTAGAACCTGATCAACCAGGCTGTAACTAACACCAGCCGCGTCCAACAGCCTGGTTGACCAATCCAGCAACCAGGAGGCCTGGTCGACGACCGGGCCGCGGGGTCGCTAAGCCCCGAAATCACCTCAAGGTAACCTCAAGGTAAGGTGGAATATGAAATCTTTCTATATTATTCCGCCAGAGTTACCCTCTTAGCTCCAGGAGGAAGCTCGACATTGCTTTTATGGCTCACAAATCCTTTTAGAACTCTTCCTTTGCTTAAGGAAAGGCACTCGAGTTCACAGAGATACAACAGGTTGTTGTTGTTGGCGTAGGTTCCTTTCAAGGAGACCTGTGTCTCAGCTTGTGATGTGTGTACTCACCTAATTGTGCTTGCGGGGGTTGAGCTTTGGCTCTTTTGGTCCCGCCTCTCAACCGTCAATCAACAGGTGTACAGGTTCCTGAGCCTATTGGGCTCTATCAAGGTACCTCAAAGTGTGTGTGTGTGTGTGTGTGTGTGTGTGTGTGTGTGTGTGTGTGTGTGTGTGTGTGTGTGTGTGTGTGTGTGTGTGTGTTATCTTATGTGTGTGTGTTATCTTATGTGTGTGTGTTATCTTATGTGTCTTATACCCTATGTGTGTTAATTTGTTCGTTATCTTTACTGTGTAACCTGAGCGTCTTATTTTATGGGTGCTATCTACTGGGCGTTATCTTCTGTGCTATCTCTTGTATGATATATCATATGTGATATCTTGTGCGTTGTGTTACTGGTGAGTATGTTATCTTGTGTGTGTGTTATAGTGTATATGTTGTGTGTGTATTATCTTGTATGTGTGGTATGTGTTATCGTGTGTGTGTGGTGTGTGATAACATATTGTGTGTATTTTATGCTCTGTTAACGCTAGGCTGTTAATTCGAGTATTGTGATATCCAGTAGGATTGATCTCTGGTGTAATTTAAATATTATTGTTGTGAGTGCAGCGAGTGAAGCCTCTACGAGTGAATATAATGAGTTGCCCAAGGCCTCTACGAGTGAATATAATATGCTATGAAAGCCTCATTATATCCAGTGGCCTTGGAAAGCTTATTAAATTCAGTCCTGGTATGACAAATCACATCTCTCAATGTATCATTGCTATCCATGTTCACTCGGCTGAGTGGCGTTTATAACGAGTGAATCGCGTCCTCGGGCCTCTAGAGTGCGTTACTTGACGGGTCGACATCGAAAGGGTCGTCGACCCGTCAAGTAATCTTCTGTTTAAGCAACAAAAGGTTCTGTGTTAACCTGTTTTCCGTCTCTTTGGCGCAGAGAGAAGAGCATTGAGGACAGTCAGCGCCGCCTGAGAGCTAGCAACAGTGTTCAGTATTAGTGTGTTGGGTCTGGTGTTTCCTTTTACAAATGTAAATAAAGAATGTAGAGAGGTTGATGCAGGAAATGTAGAACCTGGTGGATATGTGGTGGATATGTGGGCCTGCGGGTCACTCCAAGGAACAGCCGTCCGGACGAGGTCATAACCCGTCAAGCCACTCCAGGTATACTCGAAGTATACACATATACACACACACACAAGCCAGCGTACACGGGGAGTGAACTTTGACCTATGCAAGTTAGATGGGCAGTGACGTGTACGCTAGAACACAACATGCAGCTCATGTCCAACTTTGTGCATCTGTTACACTCTCACACGCACGCACGCACACACACACCAGCACCACACCAGCTCCACACCTACCTCACACCAGCACCACACCAGCTCCACACCTACCTCACACCAGCATCAGGTGTGTGATAGACCTTGGCACCAGCTCTGGACCAGACGATAGCGTCCTTCGCGACATGGTAGGCATCACAGCGGAGATCGATGCTGGAGCCGACTTCGTAGAACTTCTCCAAGATAGCCTCTCCCCTCCCGTCGAAGATCTCCAGGCGAGGAACTGGAGGCCGGCCACAGCAGCGAGGAAGATAAAAGGACTTTTACTTCGACGGAAGACATAGAACATCAACATTAATTGCAAATAAAGCCATTTGTAAAATCTGGAAAACGAACTATGCAAAAACATTGTGATATTCAAACTTGTAAATATTAGACAAATTCAGTTTTAACAAATTTCTTATGAAATAGGGAAGGAGGAACAGTAATTGTGGTGTGAATGGTCTGCCATTCCAGTAATTGGGGAATGGAAGAGTGGTGTAGGGTATGGGAGGGTGGTGAAGGGTAGGGGAAGGTGGTGAAGGGTAGGGGAAGGTGGTGAAGGGTAGGGGAAGGTGGTGAAGGGTAGGGAAGGTGGTGAAAATGTATCAAAAATGCAATATGGTGTTGATCAATGTTAACATTTTGCAATTAGAAAATCTTCCAAACCTATGATGATAGTTTGTTTACATCTTAAGTAGTACACTGTGTCTTCGTCAAGACTTTTTAGCCTTACTTAGTCACTGATTTCCAGTCTTAAGCTTCCAGTCTAAAGCTTAATGATTTAGACCACACGGGAGCCCCTGTTTTGAAAGGCTGTGAATGACATCTTAGCCCAAAAGCTTCGACTCCGGCTGCCTAGTGAATTGCGATCCTGTATATAACGTTCTGAAATCACCATCAGGCTTTTGATATATTCAATTACCTCGCTTATTCCTCCAGATAACTTGATATCCATCACTTGAATGGCATTTTATAATCAGTCAACATTAGCGTTTTGAATATGTCTTTTCGGAGAGGTGCCTCCAATCGTATTACCTTGAGTTTCTGAGCAACACTTTTGAGCACTAATATGTTGCTTGATCTAACGCCCTTCCTGCAGACTCTGGCCTAGTGTTGCAAGGGAGGTGTTGGCCGGTGTTGCGGCATTTCACGGGTGTTGCATAAAAGAACAGACAGGCAGAGAACAAAGCCGGACAGAACACAATATGAATAATTATATATTCAGTGTTTAATGAAAAGAATAAATTTTCCATGATTATCACATAAATTACAAGGCGCCTAGTGTTCCTATATGTTATATAAGCCTGGTGTTCTTGCTATATAAGCCTGGTGTTCTAGTTATAATTTATTGTAATACCTGTTATATAATCCGTAGAACAGGTAAACATATGAATAATAACAAGAACATAAATCCCGCTTCCTAATCTACCTAATCCCCCCTCCCAATCTCCCTAATCCCCTCCCCCAATCCCCCCAACACGTCAGTTTTCGCAAAAAAAAAACATTGCCAACAATTTCTGACCATTACATACCCACCGAAAGTTTATATTTATGTAATATATAATTTTTCCCACCTGTCGGCTCCCGGAGCATCATCAATCAAAGAGCATGATTTTTATTTTTTAATGTATCTTGTTTTAATTTAAATGCAAATTTCGTCTCAAGAGTGTAAAGGATCAACCAGGCTGTGACTGATCAACCAGGCTGTGACTCATACGTCAGGCTGCGAGCAGCCGCGTCTAACAGCCTGGTTGATCAGCCCAGCAACCAGGAGGCCTGTTCGACGACCGGGCCGCGGGGACACTAAGCCCCGGAAGCACCTCAAGGTAACCTCAAGGTAAGGAGCGTATTTAACGCCAGTAGGAGCATATATGAACTTCGTTGAACATATAGATATATGTTATATTCTTGTATATATATCTATATATGTATATTCAGCATACTGAAGGTGGCTGGATTGCATATGACGATCGTGGTATGTTTCACATTTCATATACGATTCATGCAAGAGTTAATATAAAGATGCTTAGGGCTAGCCTCCGGCAAAGTTTGCAGGGTGACTAGTGGTGGGTGTGGGATGGTCATAGGTAGGGAAAGGTTGACTCGAATGCTCCCTGTTTTACATGAAAAGTCAAATTACACCATTTTCTGATATTTCATACTGCATACAATCCTTACTAAGAGTAATCTAGATTATTATTTTCCTATGTGATGCTTATCATTTTTGTTTTTGTCTTGGGTAGTTTATTGATGAAGATGTGTAAGGAAGATGGTTATAGTGGTGAAGGGAAGGTGGTGAAGAGTAAGGGAAGGTGGTGAAGGGTAGGGGGAGGTGGTGAAGGGTAGGGGAGGTGGTGAAGGGTAGGGGAAGGTGGTGAAGGGTAGGGGAAGGTAGTGAAGGGCAGGGGAAGGTAGTGAAGGGCAGGGGAAGGTAGTGAAGGGCAGGGGAAGGTAGTGAAGGGCAGGGAGAAGGTAGTGAAGGGTAGGGGAAGGTAGTGAAGGGTAGGGGAAGGTAGTGAAGGGTAGGGGAAGGTAGTGAAGGGTAGGGAAAGGTAGTGAAGGGCAGGGGAAGGTAGTGAAGGGTAGGGGAAGGTAGTGAAGGGTCAGGGGAAGGTAGTGAAGGGTAGGGGAAGGTAGTGAAGGGCAGGGGAAGATAGTGAAGGGCAGGGGAAGGTAGTGAAGGGTAAGGGAAGTTCATCCAGCAGTAAATATGCACAACCGAGTTAGGCAAATGTTGTGGGTTTCATCTATACCAACCAGACTGTTGCTACATCAATACAGTATCCTACTTTAGGCTCGGTATCCCCATCTCTCTTCCCATCCCAGGGAATAAGTGAATCACAGTGAATAAGACACTCTTAGTCTGTCTCCTATCCCTTTAACCAGAAGAGGGGTCCCCACAAACACAACTCCCCCTACGGGCGTCAAGGGAGCAAAATATTGTCACTATTTAGAAGCTAATGCATTAGTCAATTCCAAACTATTATTACCCACAATTCCCTTCTCCTCCGGTTCATCACTAACCCTGCTGCACAACACACTGGGAACTGTATTTGCATATAAATACAGTCTAGAAAATGATATATCTGATATACCATCGTTTTCACCAAAAGAGAATGTGCTACTTGTTTCGTTTTAATGGGGCCAAAGGTGAATAAACTCGACTGGTACGTGTGTGTATGTGTGTGTGTGTGGGGGGGGGTGTATGTGTGTCTGGGGGGGGGGGGGGGGTGTGTGTGGGGGTTGTGTGTGTGTGTGTGTGGGTGTGTGTGTGTGGGGGGGGGATGTATGTGTGTGTGGGGGTGGGGGGGCGGGGGTGTGTGTGTGTGTGGGTGTGTGTGTGTGTGGGGGGGGATGTATGTGTGTCTGGGGGTGGGGGGGGGGGGGTGTTTGTGTGTTTGCCAAAAATTTGGAATTAATTCATACCTTTGATACTATTTAAATATATATTCGTTTCATAAAAAAAATCCCATTGTTTATTTCATATGACAAATAAATTAGAACATGCCTAATTAAGATTAGAAATATTTGCCAAATATATATATATATATATATATATATATATAGGCACTCATAACATTATATTTTCTTGGTACGTTTCGTAAAGTTTACATCAGATTACAAGTTCTCATTTGCAAGATGCAAGAACATTCCACTGGGGCATTCATTGCAATACAGCATCACAGGGGTACATGAGCCATTATATAAAGTGTCAATATGTAGGCTGTCCGGTTGTTTCATGTTGCTCAGGGCAATTGGCACTCTGAGACGCCAGTGCGTGTCCTCAGGCTCTGGCACTCAGGATAACGGGGGTTCTGATTTACTCTTGCAAGGACAGTGTTGCATGTTGCTTTGTAGCTCTTGGGTATCCATTCAGGCGTATGTGTACGCCTCACTGGTCAGAGCAATGGCGATGCTGCTAAATGATCTCCATGCGTTCATACCAGCTATATGTGTCGCATATATGTGGCGCTGGCTGGCTCACCCATCAGGTTCACATGTGACAATGGGTAACTCACCCATCAGGTTCACATGTGACAATGGGTAACTCATGCATCAGGTTCACATGTGACAATGGGTAACTCATGCATCAGGTTCACATGTGACAATGGATAACTCACCCATCAGGTTCACATGTGACAATGGGTAACTCATGCATCAGGTTCACATGTGACAATGGGTAACTCATGCATCAGGTTCACATGTGACAATGAGTAACTCACCCATCAGGTTTACATGTGACAATGGGTAACTCACCCATCAGGTTCACATGTGACAATGGGTAACTCACCCATCAGGTTCACATGTGACAATGAGTAACTCACCCATCAGGTTTACATGTGACAATGGGTAACTCATGCATCAGGTTCACATGTGACAATGGGTAACTCATGCATCAGGTTCACATGTGACAATGAGTAACTCACCCATTAGATATCGTACAGAATACTGAAGACAATCATCATTAGCAGGATAACAATCTCTCCTCCCCCCTGGTTGCCATACATCAATTCGTATTGATGCATAGTGTGCAATGTTGCAAGGTTGGTTCTTCTTTGGGTTGATATTGAAGAGCTGCCTTCCTTGTGGCTCTCCAGTTGGGGATTATGAGAAGCTTAAGGACTTGTATAGAACTACATCTATTCCTGTTTACCCCTCTCTCTCTCTTCTCTCTCTCTCTCTCTCTCTCTCTCTCTCTCTCTCTCTCTCTCTCTCTCTCTCTCTCTCTCTCTCTCTCTCTCTCTCTCTCTCTCTCTCTCTCTCTCCAGACTAACCTTTAATCTCTAAAAACACACACGTATGCCTTCCCTAATTGCAGAGTGAGAACGGCGTTCTCATAGCCCAGCTTATTACGCTAAGCTGCTCTCCACTCTGATGCCTACGAGAGGGAAGCCACCATGAAAAAAACTCTGCACTCGAAGAGGTGGCAAAAATCGGGGCTTAATTTTTTCCCACTAGGATCTCCAAGCCACATTGCTTAGGGCAAATTTTTCTTAAAATTAATGTTTGGATGAGTGGTTGGTGGAATTAATAATTACGTTCTTGAGACTTGCTTTCTTATTTATATATATATATATATATATATATATATATATATATATATATATATATATTGTGGAATTTTTGGTGGATGGTCTGGAGATGGGGTCATTATGTGTATAGATGTGTTGACCTTTGTTAGTGTCAAATAGGTCAAGACGATTTGGTAATGGGGGTTTTCAGGACGACTTAATAAGGCAAACTATGAGATCAGAAATAATAGCAGTCGTCAGTAGTTATCTCAAACTGTCCAATTGCATCATTAGTGAACCATCAAAGCGCTTGTCTGATTAGTCGAGCCTAGTTCATATTAAACCCAAGTGCGTGCGCTCTGACTCTCCGCCCATGTGCGCATGCGCTCCGCCCAAATGTGCATTACTGATAAACAGTAACGATACCCTAATACACATAACGATACCCTAATTCCTTTCGCAGGCCCTGAAGGCCCTGTACATCCTAAATACTGTAAACCACAAGTGTATACTCTCTGATAAGTGCATCTGTATGCGAATACACTCGCTGTATACTAAAATATTCACAACAGTAGTTTGTATCCACCACTGCTTGCTTGTTACTGAATTATCTGCTTAGTTTCTCAGATTAGGGAAGGGACGCCATTTTTTTTTCTCTCACCCAAATCAATACTACAGTGTTGCAGCTATTCAGGCGACTGCTGCAACTGACCTGCAGCCGACTGCTGTAATCGACGCTGTTAAATAACACGTGAACAGCTAAACCTTTCCACAAACGCTCGCAGAGTTCATAAATCCAATTAGACTTCGGATACACGAAATTTACTCTGCCAAATTCGCCGCTAGCAACCATGGTAATCCGATGATCACGAAGCTGCATTGTGCATCCGACACCTGAGCCGTCTACTGGACGCCAGGAGTAGACGGGAGCCAGGTAGATGAAGGAGTAGACGGGAGTCAGGTAGATGAAAGAGACGGATAGGAGGGAAGGATGCTTGTCTCTCTCTCTGGATGCTGTGGCTGACATCCCCTTCCATTCTGTTACTAATATAATTTTCATGTTTACATGTTCCACCTTCCATTGCATAAGCATTGTTGCAACGATGTTCTGGGTAATTATGGCTTAACATCCGTTGTGTGGATACTTAAGATATTGTGATATTTACGGTCACCTGTTATAGCGTAACGCCAGGAGAGTAGTAGACGAAGGAGGTAGATAGATATCTCTCATAAAATGGGCCACAAGGCCAGCAAAGAGTAGGAGAGTGAGGCAAGAGAGATATCTCTCTCATAACGGATCAAACAGGTTAGAAAAGGACTCACAATATACTCACAAGAACTTAATATAGCCATGAAAACAATTTTGTGATGTCTCATTGCGAGGAGAGTATAAATAGTTGTGTTTAAGAGTATATTAAGTATATTTCATAACAGTATTTTTAATAGAGAGAATGAAGACAATGAAGACACAATGGGGCTGTTTTAGAGTACATTATGAGTGTGTTGTATGCTGTGCTTGAGTGCGTTGTTGTTAGTGAGTTTGTTGAGTGGTGTGAGTGTGTCATGTGTCTGAGTGTGATAACGACCTGTGAAGCTAACGAGAAGATCAGTAACGTTAAGCTGAGTTGTTGTTAAAGATTCGCTACCTGGAACAAAAAGTTCCAAGTAGCACGGGCTATGGTGAGCCCGTGTGTTAAGCTGAGGTTATATCACGTCAAGAATTTCTTGAAACTACCCTTAACTACAGCTCTTAAACGAGTTCCAAAAAACACATACGTAGCTCATTCGTACCTCTGACCGTTGTAAACAATCTTTTTGCAATCGAACAATGTGCAAACATCAATTACTCGTTGCAAATAACGTTGTTTAACATTTAGAGATTCACCGATGGTAACATATTGAGTCAATACTAATTTTCCCTTCTGTTTACCGAGGGCAAACATATATGTTCGAGTTATTTACAATAGTCAATTTTTTAACTGTTAGTAAGCATTTATTTGGCCTTTCAGCAGGTTAGGTAATGTTGGTGTGTTGTATTGTCGGGTTGAATTGTGATGTATTTACTGTTGTGATCTTTTCGATCTATTGTATTTTTAGCGATATTCGATGCTTTGTGTCTTCACATTCTCCATGGGTGTGGATCCGAGCCTTGGATCCGAGCCTTGGATCCGAGCCTTGGATCCCAGCCTTGGATCCGAGCCTTGGATCCGAGCCTTGGATCCCAGCCTTGGATCCCAGCCTTGGATTAACTCATTGTGTCAATACATACTTGTGCTCGGAGGTTCTGTCTGCTGATGTGGTGACCAGACAGATGAACTGACGCGTATCGTGAGGGGGTCGTGAGACATATTTCTGCGCCACAATGAGGAGTCCAAGACTTGGGATTCATCAAACATTTATACTGAACCACTGACGAAACATGTAGATCCCTCCTCGATCATGGCGGCTTTGTTGACGTTTATTAAACAGTTTGCGAGGGTTCGAAACGTGTAGCTTCGTGAATTCACGCGAATTCGGGAAGGTCTTGAGGCTAATACCGACCTGGTGGATGGCTGTTATGATGAATCACCTCGTCCTCTAGGCGTTTGTAAATGGTGTGAGGGGGGGAGGGGTGTTTGTGGGGTCGTGTTTGTGTTGTGTGTATTTGCACGCATGTTCGCCAACCACTATATCCCCATTATAAACAAACAAACCTCACGCAGCTTACAGAATTAACTAGCTGTGTCCGTCACACACACCAGCCACATTTGTGGTCGTGTTAAATCCAGGAGGCAACGCTCTTCTCAAAGGCTCCTAAGAGTTGAACCACTTGAGCCTCTTGTACCGCCCTTGCGGCTTCCTCTCACACCTCCTAAGCCTCATAACATCGCGCTCTGACGATTAACTTGCTTACAAAGTCGCTAATGCCACTTACGGGAGACTGGAGCGGCGGTGGTTTGTTGGGAGGGGGAAGGTGTTCACCGGAGTACGGCGCCGTAATCTCGACTATTCACGGCGATATCCGTCTTGGTAAATCGTCTCTGGGTTCCAGGCAACAGGTTCGGTTGTTGTACAAGACCATTCTCATGATCTTATTTCAGATTTGGGTTGATTTGCCGAGATGAGATGCTCATGGTGATGTTCCGTTGTTTTGTAAGCTGCTGATAGGCTCTGTGTGTGTGTTTGTGTGTGTAAATATGTATATTCATACACATTTACATATACTTACACAACACTCGCATTCACAGATACCCCCCACAACCCTCCCTCCCTCCACACACACACACAGGAACCTGTACACCAGTTGATTGACAGTTGAGAGGCGGGACCAAAGAGCCAGAGCTCAACCCCCCTGCAAGGAC